TGCAATCTGAACAACCCAGTATTCGCTTTGGAGCCGTATTTTTCAAGCTGGCACCGCTTGGTTCAAACTATGATATGATATTAGGATCACCGTTTTTAACAAAATTCAAGTTGGATGTTTCTCTTCATCGTCGAGCTGTATTGCATACAACAACGGGAAAAATCCTTTATGAAAAAGAAATGCAATCTGAGTTGAATAGGCTGCTTTGTGTTATTCAGAATTTGCACAAAATTGATGAGGTTCAAGACTTGAGTGAGCGAGAGGCGTCAATCTTGAGAGAGTTTGAAGATATGTTCCCGGCTGAACTTCCACCTGTTGAAGACGGTGAAGGGCCGGATGAAGTTTTTCCTGATGGCTTACCAGACGTGAAGCGGCATGCAAGGCACCGAATTGTTCTCACTGATCCTAATGTCACGATCAACGAGAAACAATACGGCTATCCGTTGAAACACCGAGACGCGTGGCGTAAACTTCTTGATCAGCATATAAAGGCAGGACGCCTGAGACGGTCTCATAGTCAATACGGCTCTCCTTCAATGATTATCCCAAAGAAGGACCCGACAGAGCTGCCTAGGTGGGTGTGCGACTACCGGACGTTGAACAAATATACGGTCAAGGATCGTACTCCCCTACCCAATGTGGATGAATCCATCAGAATTGTAGCACAGGGAAAGATATGGTCCAGTATCGACCAAATTAATTCTTTCTTCCAAGACAGAATGCGGGAAGAAGACATTCCGTTAACAGCAGTGAAGACTCCTTGGGGATTGCACGAATGGGTTGTCATGCCTATGGGTTTGACTAACGGTCCAGCAACTCATCAGGCTAGAAACGAGGAAATATTAGGAGAATTAATTGGAAAGATCTGCGTGGTTTATATTGATGATATTGTGATATTTTCGGACACAGTTGAAGAACATGAAAAACATGTGCGGCAAGTATTGGAGAGGTTAAGAGAAGCTAAATTATACTGCTCATTAAAGAAAAGCAAGTTTTTTCGACGGAGCATAAAATTCCTGGGCCATGAAATCAGCCGAGATGGAGTCTGTCCTGATGACGAGAAAGTAGAGAAGATTTCAAAGTGGAAATCACCTTCGAATTCAAAACAACTTCTAAAATTCCTTGGCACCGTCCAATGGATGAAGAAATTCATTGACGGGCTTTCACATTATGTAGGGACTCTTACACCTTTGACAAGCACATCTCTGAAGGGTAAGCCATTTCAGTGGGGTGATGCAGAAGAGCATGCGTTCAACAATATCAAGCGCTTAATTACAACTCTGCCGGTATTACGAAATCTGGATTATGACTCAAAAGAACCGTTATGGCTTTTCACCGACGCTAGCGGCAATGGTCTTGGAGCAGCTTTATTCCAAGGTATGCAGTGGGATACATCATCTCCGATTGCGTATGAAAGCCGAACAATGAATCCTGCTGAGAAGAACTATCCAGTTCACGAGCAAGAGCTTTTGGCTGTTATTAACGCGCTGAATAAATGGAAACTCTTACTTCTGGGTATGAGAGTGAACGTGATGTCTGATCATCATTCGCTCACTACTCTTTTGACACAGCGTAACCTAAGCCGTCGCCAAGCAAGATGGCTCGAAACCTTGTCTCAATTCGATCTTGACTTCAAATATCTACGAGGTCAAGATAATTCGGTCGCCGACGCTCTCTCTCGCCGAGATGACATAGCCTTGTGTGAAGTGCGGGGAACTCTGGCACCTGAAGAACTGCAATTGATTCGTGACGGGTACCAACAGGATAAATTTTGTCTCAAGCTTCGCAAAGTTTTGCCTTTGCGGGAGGATTGCGTTTTACAGGATAATCTTTTATATCTGGATGGACGACTGGTGGTACCAAACTATGGTAACCTTCGCCGTGATTTCATTTCACAAGCTCACAGTGCGCTGGGACATTTAGGCACTTTCAAGACACTAGCAAGGTTACGAATGAACTTCTTTTGGCCAGGAATGACCAAAGAAGTGGAAACGCAACTACGAACCTGTGACTCATGTCAACGCAACAAGGCACGAACAACGTCAACAACGGGAAAATTACAAACCCCTGAAGTACCTACTAGCCCTATGGAGTCAATTGCGATTGATTGTGTTGGGCCATTCCCGAAGGTTTCAGGTTATGACATGCTTCTTACTTGTACATGCCGACTAACGGGTTTTGTCCGCCTTATTCCAGCCTCTCAACGTGATACGGCTGAGCGCTCCGCAGCTAGACTGTTCTCTGCTTGGTCATCAGTATTTGGTCTCCCTGCTTCCATTATTGGGGATCGGGATAAAGCTTGGACGTCGCGCTTTTGGCAAAAGCTGCACGAATTGTTAGGTGTCAAAGTTAATCTCTCAACATCCTATCATCCTCAGTCCGACGGTCGAAGCGAGCGCTCAAATAAAACTGTTGGTCAGATCCTGCGTCACCTCGCAGCTGAGAAACACAGGAAGTGGTTTCAATCTTTACCCTCTGCTGAATTCGCAATCAATTCTGCTGTCAACGTGGCAACGGGTGTATCACCCTTTCAATTCGTATACGGACGCGTACCACGACTGTTTCCAATTCAAAACCCATTGGAAGAGGACGGCGCCGACGTGAAACACTGGATTGAAAGGCGACAATCAGAGTGGGCCATGTGGAGAGATAAGTTGTGGACCAATCGAGTAGAACAAGCACTTCAATACAATCAAAGACGAAGAGAAGGTAAACCATTCTCAGCGGGAGAATGGGTCATGATTGACAGCACGGACCGACAACAGATTGTCGGAGGCAAGTTCAAAGGAACTAGCAAGCTTCGAGCACGCTACGACGGACCGTACGAGATCTTAGAAGTCCTAAATTCAGGCCGAGACTACCGCCTTCAATTGCCACCAGGCGATCTCACTTATCCGGTCTTTCATATCTCCAAGCTCAAACTTTATCATTCGTCAGTCGAGGAATCAAGTGCAGAAGAGATTGCGACCACGAGTTTGGTCTCGTCACAACCGGAACAACCCCCAGGAGAGACTCGAGAGGAGCCCATGGGGCATGCTAGGAATTGTGACGAGGGGGTGTGCATTCAAGTTGATGCGCTAACACCCCCGCAATGTGAGTGTGCTAATTTTTTCAATCCGTGTTGTAAAGAAATTCTGGGCAAGCATTCCTCTCTCCAAAATAACAGTTTAACATCTTTGGACGAATCATCAAGACGAAAGAAAACTAAACAAGATCTCGGAGTAATTGCACCCACCGAGTTGGGTTTGTCAAGGCCAAAAACAACCCCGACAGGTCCTGAATTGGAGCCCTTGGGGCACGCTAGGTTAATTGACAAGGGGGTGTGTATCATATGATGCAATAACGCCCCCGCAATGTGAGTGCGATAATCAACCTTTTCTCTATAAATTTTGTGAACGGCTGGCAAGCAATATTCTTTTCAAAAATACAGATTCAAACAATCACGACGACAACAATGCAGCAAGAAACGCAAGACATCAAGGAGATCAAATAATTTACCTCAAGACTTCAAGATCATGATCAAGTTAACTTAAATGACGCAATATATTATGAAGCGATTCAAGACTTCAAGATAATGAAATTACCTCAAGACTTCCAGATAATGATAAATGATTTTTTTTCACTTTATTTCGACGAAAATTTTTTTTCTTCCTTTCCTTTTCTATCAGTTCAATTTGGTTATGTTTCCTCTTTTTCTTTTTTTTCTACTTCTTTTTCTCTTACTTAGACAAATTATTAATTTGAGTTTTTCTTTTTGGGGCGAGTTATGCCAATGGTGTGTTTTCTTTTGTTTTTTTCTCTTATTAAGTTTCATTTTGGTTTTGAGGGATGGCTAGAAGTTATTTTTAGAAAGGGGGGGTGTAAGGAGTACACGTGACAAGTAGGCATGGGATTACACAGTATGGGATTAGATAGGAACTCCTTACCTTTCATTCTCAACGCCCGGCTTCGAAAGGTCCTCACTCCTCAGAGAGCCAACTGGGTGACTTTTCGGAGCTAGGTGAGATTCTTTCAGTTCTCTTCATTTCTTCTTATCTTTTGTGTTGTTGGATGGTTGCTGACTCCTCAGAGAGCCAACTGGGTGACTTTTCGGAGCTAGATCGTAATTTATACCGAAGTTCCAAGTCCATCGCTCTCGTGAGAAGTCGTGCCGGACTAGTTTCCGGACCCCTCAGTGAAGGTTCTCATCGAACCTTACATTTATGATCCTTTTGTTCTGTTTGAGTTGTATGCAACTGTGATTTCGAGTTACGATGAGAGTCTTGGCGAAAGAATTTACATAAGCATTGATCAGTTGAGTTGATGAGGTGGAATGATTGAGTATCGTTGTTTGATGAGGTTCTTTGATTTTTGTCAACTTGTCTTGATGAGCCTTTACATAAATGCTGAGATGAGGACGAGTGTAAAATTAAAACTGAACTAGGTCAACTTGAAACTCATCAAGTTCACCTCATCAAGAATCAAAATCAAACCTCGAAACTGATCAAATAAGCTGATCAAAAAAACAGTTTGATTAACCTCTTTGATGAGAATGAAACACTTCCAACGCGTGATTACCTTTGTGAAGCTTGACTTTCGCTTGACTTGAACAGGTGAACTTGAAGTTTTCCACTTCGAATTCATCAGAAGAAAGGAGAAGAACCCATTCCTCTGAATCTCAAAGAGACACCTTTCACAATTAAATTTCATCAACTGACTTTTTCTTGAGTCGCGTCCTGAACGATTTGACTCATTTTTTTTTACTTCCTTTGATCGGTTATCAATCGCTCTTTACCTTTATCACTTTGGGTCAATCGTTCGGTTTTCTACTTCTTATCGATCATATATAAACCCCTTGCCTCCTTGCTTAGGTTACATCCTCTTGACTTCCATTCCCAAAACATAATTAGAAGCACTACCACAACATACTCTTTCATTCCTCTTGAATAATCATACTCCTCTTCGTCATCAGTATCGTCATCGTTCTCATCACTATCACTATCACCACTACCTAATCAAATATGTCTGAATCTATCTTGACGATAGACGAATGTTTTAGTTCCCCTCAGAGACCTGAGATTAAATCCGAACGTCTTAGAGTTCGAGTCAAGACTCAAGGTGAAAGTCTTAATATCGGTCAACTCAAGAAGGCTATCATTAAAAAAGGATACCCCAGTCTAAGTGACCCATCTCGTATCACACTTATCATCCCTGATGGTTAGTTTACTCTTTCTTTTATATTCTCATCACTCTTTTCTGTCTTTCCCTTATTTGAATTCTAATCTGCTTTGCTTATATAGGCAGAGGCACTTTGTTACACGATCACATGATGGCTTCGATGGTACCACTCAATTCTAATATCTTAGCATTAGTTTCCCCAAGTGCAAATGAAACCACTCGATTACACTCTAAGAACGGTATTAACTTACCATCAATCCTATTCGTATATACAAACGCATCACTCAAGACGTTTATTAAAATGCCAGAGTCTATTCCTTTATCTCCTTCAGGAGTTTGGTTAGCATTAAACTTAACTTGGAATGTAACCTTGGAACAATTGATTTCTTATTTCATTGGGATCGGTTTTAATCAAGATTTAGTTGTTAAAGAATCTCATCGTCATGATGCTTTCCTTAGTTTTTCTTCTTCCGGTCCTTTTTCAAATGTAAATCCAAATCACAAAGGTTATCTTGCTCCTCAACTTATGTTTAGACTTTGGGATGCCGCTGGATTGAATAAATTGATTGCTTCTCAAAATCGTGATCGAACCCGTTGTACATCTGAAATCGAGGTATGTTTTTTTCTCTCGTGTTTCCAATATTGACCAATGGAAACAATCACTGATGATTTTTTTCCCTATCGATCCTCTAGGTTTATAGCGCGTCATGTTTCTCAGTTGACTCAGTCTCAAGTACTTCAACAATTCATGGTGGACCCCACGGATACTCACCTAAAACTCCTACACCAATTCCATCCGTGATCATGGCCAGTCCATCTGAACACGAATCAGCATACGATGAGGGATTCTATCAACATTTCAATCAATCCGCCAGGACTGTCACAAGTGCTAGTAGTGAAAGCGGTAGAAGTGCCAGCAGTGGCGCTTACAGCAGTTATAGTAGCTCCAGCAGCAGTGGTGTTGATGACTACTCCGATCGAGAATCAATGGATTGGCGTTCGAGTACTACTACACGCTTTTCATCTTCAAATAGAATCAGTAACCTGGTCAAGGTTAGTATTTTTTTTCTACCATCTCAATTTTATTCTTCAACCCCAACATTTTCTTAAAACCAATTCTTACCTATTCACAAATTACAGAAAATTCAAGAATTAACTCAAGAAAGAGATAGAGTATTAGGAGAATGTGAAAAACTAAAAGAAAACCAACCATGCTCAAGTAAAAATTCGCATCAATCACGTAAACTAGAAGAAGAAAGAACGATCCTTACCAATCAATTAAAACATTTAAATCAAGAGAATTGTACCTTGAAAGAAGAAATCCAAGCTGAAGTTCAAACTGTTGAAGCTTTGTTTCAAAGGATTGGTGATTTAGAAGCTATGAATCATTCTACCCAAGCAGAAGTTAAAGCTGAAGTCCAAAGTGTAGGTCTTTCAATTCGTCTTGTTTTGGTATATCATCATGGATCCTAATTTCATTTTTCTCAATCAGATTCGAGAAAACTTATCAGGAGTGATTACTTGCCCGATCTGTTGCGAACGATATGGATCATTATCATCAAACGCAGATAGACGACCGATTCATCTATCGTGCGGACATATCTTTTGCGCAACCTGCTTAGACACAGACTGGAGATCACGTTTTAACGATGGGAACCCAAACCCGTATCGTTGCTTTAACCGTTGTACTAACGTTGATCCGAGCAGACTTGGAGAGATTTATTTACTCGAAGAAGTCAAAGAAATCTTGGATAGATTAACTGCTTGTTAAACACTCATCTTTCTTGTTTGATGTTTTTTTTGGGAAAACGGGATATCTTTCTACTAAACTCGATTGATCTTTTTGAATCTTAGTTTTTTGGTTTTCTTTTGGAACATTCTTCGTACTTTCTCTACCATTCTATCTTTTTCTCTTTGGTTAAATTCCATCAATAAGGTTTTTTTTTCTATTAGTGGACTTCTTTTTGGTGACTTTTAATACTTTAGGAATGTAAAATTATGATTCTCTTGACGTTTTCTTTAATTGGTTTTTCTTATCAGTCTTATATGTATCAGTTTTAAAAGTTGATTCTAGTCTTTATTAATGAAAATTGAGTTATATTTTGAAGATCAAAGACTTTAATGCAAGTTTGACTTGAGAATGAATCTTCGTTGCTATTCAGACTGATCTTGGCGATTCATTCAAAGAGTAAGCCATGTTTGTGTAGATTTAGCTAAGACGCGACTTTTGGTCGTGACGCTTTTGATCGAGTGTGTCACAATCGTTGCAAACAGGTACAAATACCAGACAGAAGTTCGAATTACGTAATCCGGGTTCGTATATCGGCTAGTATGGCCGCCTCTCACGCGGCAGAGACGGGTTCGATTCCCGTATCCGGAATTCTTTTTTGTTGGCTGTCGGGGCTGTAAGTGAGCTGTTCAGTTACGATCTCCCACGACGGCCGGGTATCTAGTGATCGATGATTTTTTTGAGACATTTTTATCATTCAACATAAACCAGAAACAAAATTCGTAAAATATTTTCATTCAATTAATCATCATCAGTAAACAAGAAGAAGGTGCAAAAGCAAGAGAAACCTGTTGTTTTAAAATGTGAAAATACAATCATCATACAAAGATGAAAAGAACCCAAGAAGATGAAATGAAAATCTAATTTGTAATATAAAAAGAAGAAAAAATCTATTCGAAAAATAAAAAGGTAAATGAGTTTCTAATTGATTGATTTATACGATGATAAATCTATGAATCAGGGTAAAAATGAATAAACAGTTCCTATGATAGCCATCAAGATTGAAAGGATTAATAAAACGAAATCTAAACCAATAAAAAACTTATGACGATTTTGATTTTGGTTTAATAATAATTCAGCCGAAACTGGTAAAACGATACAAATCACAAATGCAGCGAAAGCCTAAAATGATTTTCCAAAAAAAAAATAGAAAGAAAACAAAAGCTTGAGGTTAATAAAGATTAAAATCAAATCATTTAAAAAAATGGATTAACTTAACTCCTAAGAATGACATTACTCTATCAAAATCAGGTATGATGATCGAAACAGCTACCACAAGTGTAGTAACAGTAATACGTGAGATAATACGACCAAATGCTTTGGTAAGTTTGACGGCTTTTCTTTTAGGAATATGTGATTTTGTATCTTGAGATCTTGAAACGGTTTGATGCTCGATAGTTTGATGGGTACCAGAACTAGAAGGTTGTGATTGAATTGCATGTGGATCATCAACTTCTCCAGTACCAAGTGATAAAAGATGTTCGATTGTTAAATTCAAAGGACTAATTGATTTGAAGTTATTGTCAGTAAGACTGTCATGCTAGTTAGTTATAGAAAATATTACAGACCGAGTTGAAAGTGCGAATTTGGCTATTGGATTAATGGCCACCATCCAAATAGCAAGTTGATTGATAAAAACCGGAAAACCAGGGGTGACAAGTATATCATGAGTGATTTCTTGGCTCACAGAGTCTCCAAACCTATATAACTCAACCAAAATTGATTATTCAAGTATGTTTCAAATCAGTCTGATGGTAGTTAATTTGATTCAAAGTTAAAGAACTTACATTAGATATCCAACTACTCCAATGATGGCATACATCGAACCGGCTAATAAATAAGCGTAATCAATCATACAATTGAATTCTTGAGGGTTACGCATATCACGAGCCAAACTTGGGATGACAGAGTGACCTGAAAACTATCAGAAGCAAAACACACATGGGTAGAAGGAGCGTTAGAACATATCCTGTACTTAACTCACATGTTGTATAGTTGTGAGAGATGTTTTTGTCTTTACTTACACCACTCATCATGAGTCCAGCACTCAGTCCCCATTTACTATTAGGCCATAAACTAGTTTTGGCAGGAAAGAAAATACTACCAGGTGAATCAGATTTTAAAAAACCATCGATGATGACCACACTAACTAAAGTTAAAGAACTACATAAACCAATCAAACTAGTATAACTTAAAATCTTAAATGGCATAAAGATTGTAGGGATCACTAAGAAGAAAGCCATTAATTTAAAGATGGTGGGAGATTGATTTGAAAAGATTGTGGACATTGAATCTCCAAAGATTACCATTAAGGCTACTGATAAGGCAAAAAGTTCTAAACAAAATAATCCAGCTATTGGGTATTGCATTGATCGACCAAAGGCTATTGTTATACATAAGAATCAGTTTAGAGACCCAATCAATTAATCAGCTCATTGAATAATTCTAGAAAGTGAAAATAAATGTATTACCTTTACAACAAATATCATTGTACGTTAAAAGAGTTCTGTCTTCCATCATCAATCGTGCCAAGATCTTCGCGCTAAGAAAAGGATATCATAGATTAAACCTATCAGTTTACCAAATCGATCAAAATCAATTCATTTTTTTTTGTTTGTGAAAAACTTACGTATAATTGGTTGCTAATCCACAAAACAAAAAAAGGAATATACTAGAAACCCAACCAGCAGAAGAAAATGCTAAAGGTTCTGATAATAATCCCACACCACAAAGTACATTAAAACTATTGAAAAGAGTTTGACCAAATGTACTTGTTCCGATCGCTGGTGGTGCTGGTAAAGTATCACCTTCTACATGATTATGGTAAGTTGTATCATTTGATGATGAACTGAAAGCGGGTTGAGCTTCACTAGCTATACGTCGTTTAGGATACGGTCGAAAAGCTTGAGCAGATTGAGAATCTGTAATAACTGATTGTCGATCTATTGATGAATCGGATAAAGTGTTATATTGTTTAATAGAAACAGGAGATGTTAACAAACCCGATCTTTCGAGGTTTTGAATAGGTCGTAATGAAGATTCTGAAGATTTTCCAAGATGTGATGAATTTGTAAGATGACTTGATGCTTTTAATGATGAAGTGGATGGTTTAAGATTTCTAAAATTAATAGATAACCTTCTACTCCAAAAATCTTGTAATCCACCTCTCAATGTTTGAGGATTATGAGAAGCGCTATGTCGCATCCGTCTAGGTTTAGGTGTTGATGGTTCCAAGAGTTGTCGAACTTCAGGTTGATGGTCATCGATACTTGATAAATCTGGTTCTTCATCCGAAATGTAGCCAGTCTCTTCATGTGATAATGCAAGACTTTCATTCTCTTCATTCTCATCATCGGCTTCCCATTGACTTTCAACATCAGGTTGAAGTCGATTAGTTTGATAACTAGTACTAAAACTTGAATAATTGAAACTACTTGGTAAATTCTCGTTTATAAAACTTTGACTTCGACTATAACTGTGTACCAAATCAATCGAACTGGCAATCACACCTCGATAGCTTTCTTGTTGATTTTGGTTACCATCACGAACGTTAATAGTGGGAGTTGGTGGAGTTGATGGCTGCATCAAGACTTAATGTTCGTCAAGTTCAGTGATTTGTTAATGCTTTTGTGCGATAGAACACCTTGAGTGATTTTGAGCAATGTGTGATTTCAACTTCAAAGTGAATCCGACGATGGAGCAATACGTTCAGCTTTGAAAAGAAACCCTTCAGGCTACACCAGATATATTTGAGAATCCGGACTTCAAGTATCAAAACTCAGATTAATATTGCTTTGAAAGTGAAATGTATGAAAAGAAAAACTAGAATGAAGATGAACGGAAGTCAAAGTTAGCGAAAGTAAAATGTGACAACTACAAGTGAAACTGATTATCAACTCACGGAATCAAATCTCTTCAAGCAAACAAAGGGTTCAACTTTTTATGTATTCGATTCTGGAAAAATTCATGTTTCTCATCTTGAACTCTTTTGAGCTTACACTCGACAAATATTTCAAAAAAACTTGAAACATCTTTTTTTTTTTCAAGGGTTCGAACTTCAAAATGATATTTGACTGTAATCTAAGCGTCCCAAGCAAGAAAAGCCTTACTTGTATAAATAGAAATACATACAGGTTTGAGAAAACAATACAAAATCGAAATCAAACTAGATGATGAATTCCATTCCAGATCTAATTTCTTTGTATTTATCTAGCTTTACCTCCTCCAATGCCATCTTCTATGGAATGGTACACAAGAATTTGCACATATCCAATACGTGGACTTCCTACAGATTGTGATCACATCTGTGCAAATGATACACTTCTTTCCGTAGGGAAACCAAGCGGAGAAAATTTCCGGAAGTTGAGAAAGTGGGTTAGATGAGGCATTAATCTTTTCTGGTACTGTCAATAAATGGGAAATTGCTGAGATTTGAGACCTTCTAAGCTCCCCAAAGCAAGATACAGAGACTTGTGGACTCGGAGATAAGTTGATATATGCATACGTTCACAGAGGTGATGACGTCAAAAACTTTTCTGCATCTGGATATGATTAAATGCAAGGCACCGCATTTTTCATAAATCGGAATGCAATAGATAACAGCTCGCCAAACTGACATAACACCATGAGGATGAGGAATTGACAACAGAAAATCCAAGTTATCTTCCGTTATGATAAGCGAATTGGGAGAAACCGTTGTATTTCAGATACAAGTCGTGTTGTCAACAAATCCTTGAATCTTGAAACACCAAACAATTCAAAAACTTCTCGAACGTTAAAGGTCATCAAGTCTATAATGATATATCTTCATCTCCAATCATTGCGTGCTTGACTTGAGATAGGCTTTCATCTAATTAAGATACAATATCTTGAGCAAAATGTCAGATTTCTTGGCAAGCTTGAGTTCATTAAACGATAGCAAGACAAAAGAAGAAGAAAACAAAATCTCTCAAGGGAAGAGATTTTAGAAAATAAGTACATAGAAACAATAGAGAAAAAGAACAATGTAAAAGGCTTCTTAGATATGATTGATCCTTTAGAAAGTCTTTAGATCGATCGCATTCATCTATGAAGAGTGAGTTTTTGTTTTGGGCTGGTGGTGTTGAAAGAAAAGAGTGATACGTTTTGATTCACTTGATCAGACCACATGGCCTCAAGACATGGTAGAGTTTGAAATATCAAGTGAGCACATTAGAAACGATGATGAAATGACTATTGTTGCAATATACTCCGGACGAATTTCTCGTAGTCGATGTTTCCATCACTTTGTTTTTGAAATGTGAAGATGATTGGACAGATTGTCGATCGGTTAGATGAATAATTGAAGAAAAGCAGAGGGGAGATCATATCAGTAATGATGTCTTGTAGAAGGTAAAAAACGAAAGAAATGATCCGATGATCTAGACGAAAAAAAACTATTACGAACTTTCCGACCTGAACACCTTTCATCAGTTCATCAACTTCTTCATCACTCAATTTCTCTCCTAAACTCGTTAATACATATCTAAGTTCTCCTACACCAATATAACCATTTCCTTCTTTATCAAACACTCGAAAACCTCGAATGAAGTCTTCAGCCGTTCCAGCAGGTGAAAATCCTCCAGGTCGGTTTAAGATGGCTTCAAAAGTTCCAAAATCAACTAGATAATCATAAAATGAAGTTAAATTACGAATCATCAATGAGTATATGGTTTCGATCGGAATTGATTTGGTAAGAATCCCAGTCGATTCGAGTGACCGGGTCACACTCACTATCACGTGGTGCGCTAGCTGCTAAGTCGGCCACTTCTGCCTGTGTAGGGTTCTGTCCGAGTGCTCGAAGTAGATCCCCAAGATTTTCACGAGAGATATGACCAGTTCCCTTTTTATCAAAAAGAGCGAAAGCTTCTTTGATCTCTGTTTGGTTTCGATTTGACCGGAATTCGAATCGGTGTTAAAGATAAATAGATAGATAAGGTGATCGAGCGGTCAGTTATGCGATGTTTCGAGGGCTTTGAAAGACTATATTGATACAGAATGAGAGTCTTGATGAAGGAAAATGGACTGACCTGCTTCTGATGCGGGCTACACACGGAATGAACGGACAAAGAGAGAGAAAAGCAGAGTCACAAGATAGATGAGTCACGCGTAAATTGGAAGGATGATAGTGAATGAAACTGACTGACCATGGTTGATAGTTTGATAAGTTAGGTAAGTTGGAAGAAAGACGATAGTTTGGTGGTTTGGAAGTCGATTTGGTGGGTTGTTGATTGGGTTAAATAATTTCTTGGTCCAAGTCACACTCCGCACTCAAAACTTACATCAGGTTTTAACGAGTCAAACAGCAGTCCGAGCTTTGTACAGCAGATCGGGTCTCTACTCCCTCGATTACGGGGTGAGGTCATCGATGAAGGCTATCCCTCCACCAGCCTCCACCTCACCTGTCTCGATTAACCTTTCAAATTGACCCACTTGCGCATTAAATCCTATTCGCAGTTTCCGGAGCAATCATCGACATCAAGGTGTGAACGTTCGATAGCTCTTTTTGCAAGCTTGCGGCGTATGGTGTACATTCAGCATTCTTACATTGTAAATACTTGCCTACCACGTGGAGTCTCTTTGTTCTCGGGGAGTCAAGAAGGCAGCACTAATGCAGGACCAAAGAAATGAATCACGAGGTCAAAGTTCGCGACTCATGTTCCTGTGTTTGTGTGCCATATATCGTATAGTTCCACAAACAAATTGCTCATGAACATGTGAGGTGATCAGAAGTTCAACTTTACAAGGTTATCTATCAGGTCATCTTTATCCTTGCTGGTGCTAGTGCGAACGTGCAGCTAGAGATACGAGTATAAAAGGAGGTCTTTGAGAGTGCAAAATGAAAATTCAATCCGCATCGAAAAATCCAGTCCTCTTCGTCTAAAGCCACAAAATGACACCTGTGCATTTTTTGACAACACTCTCCTACTTTTCTCTATGGATCCTCTTTCTCTGATATTTTTTGAGGAAAATCTAGTAGTTATGTCTTCCAGCTTCACTATTAATGTCTTTCATTGTGCTCATCTTTGATTGCACCCGTTGAATCAAAGTGCACGCGCAAATTTGAAGATATGTAGTCCAGAAAAGACTCCAAATATACCATCTACATGGGTTGGAAGAGGACATGGTAAGTATAATTGATCTAGCTTCAAATAATCACAAGCTGACCTTTGAAGCAAATACTCTTTGATCAACAATAGCCAAGATCTTTACAGGAACAAACTTGTTCATATATATATATATATGTACATGAAAGCCTTCATGAGATAAGTCCATCTTGACCAATATCAGAGAGACATTGTTTACATACTGACAAAACCAAAAATCTTTAGGAAACGCTTGTTGTACAGCTAATTCTCCAAAATGATAACTACTCAATAATGAATTTCCCTAGGAAATATTATGGATCGTAAGTCACAGTTTGATTTCATGTAAAATATATTTGTTCTCAATCAAACAATTCCTTTTGTGCTCTATTTAACCATACTTCAATTCCCAGTGCATAGTATGCCAATCTTTTGTCTCTTTAAATTAACCTGGCGGCTTGATCAATTAACAATATTTGATATGTTGGTGCTATGTTCCAAGGGTATTTCATCATGCCACCAGAGCAACTTCTCAACTCAAAGGAAAAAAGATCCAATTCTGCTAAGGGGTCACCAAGGTCAACCTCTCTATGCCGCTCATCTATTAACGTTAAGAAGATGATTCATCGCGATATCTGCATTAATGTTAAAATGCCATTGAGAAGGCAATTCAAAGTAAGTGGAGCAATCATACCTGGGATGAATTGAATCTACTCATTTATTTGAGAATGTTTTTTAGGGATTACGTGAATTGCTACAATATTGTAAGCTGCACAGGCGCTTCCTTCAATGGATCTCATTCAAAGGACCAATGGGGTCTAATGAGCAAGATATCAATCACCTTTCCAACTTGAAAGACACCTCCGAGTGTGGTTCTCCACGCCACCAGAGGAACCTTTACACTCAGAGGCCGAGATCTCTTTGCCTCTCCCTCGGGGAGGCATTCAGTTGCCCACTTCAAGTGGTGGAGATCAACAACTATGTAATAATCAATGTTCTCTGAAGGAAACATCTTCTTTGTGGCTTGATTGAAGGGTCTACTGTTTTTCTTCTGAATGATCTTAAGACTAGAGATACAAACTGATTCTGTAGGTATTGTTTTATTCTACACACAATTTAAAGTCACAGTAGAAGTCCTTGTATGTATCTATAATTTATCAAGAGCCAAAGTTGAAATTTTATCATGGCTCATCATTTTTGGAGTCATACTTGGTGTCCAGTTGTGCAGCTTCACAACTGGACACTTGGCGGTTTGAATGTGACTCATTACTATTCATGAAATCCCTTCTATGACTTTGAAATGAAAAATTGGAGATTGGACTTGTGGCTCACTTAAGCATTGGCATAACCATCTCTCCATCCTCTCCAAGATGGACCATCTCTTCTTAGCCATACCAGTTATCAGCACTCCTTCCATGTGCACTTTATTGAGGTTGTGTATTTCTCTCTCTCTCTTTACACTAGTTATTATCCTACTTGTGCTCACCAACTTGTGTTTCATCTCTTGTTCTTTCCCAATCGAGCATTGTTGCTACCTTTCCCAAAGCGGCACATGAGACTCACAAAACACTATTGTTAGCTAAACCTATGTCTAGAGAAATAATCCGCTATATAAAGACTTCATGTTTGTGTCAACACCAAGACAGCAGCGCTCGCCGTAATGCTAGCGTACCACCAACGTAACTCTGAGTTACATTCACAGATCCCCGTAACAGGTCTGACCCCAGATGAGCTACATTAGCACTTCCGGCAACACCTGAAGCGTCCCGCCGCAAAAAGCGGAAGGGGAGCGCAAGAGGAGCGGGTCGCCCCGCCCGCGCTTTGGGAAAACCCGTGTAGCGGGTATCCCCGCCCCGCCTGCGCTCTCCCCATTTTTTTTCGATGTAGGGGAGCGCGGACATAGTGGGGCGGTAGGAAATACCGCAGCGCTGCATGCTGTCACATCTTGCATGTAGCGGGTTAAATCGGCATATGTCACTTCCTTTGACATAGGCCAATTCCTTTCAGGATATCGTCCGATATCAGATATCAGACCTGAAAGGAACCACCACCTCCACCATCCTTTCTGCGCACCACTCTCTCAATCTCACCTTCACTTCAAAACCAAACGCCCATCACCAGCCTTATAAGTGAGTTTGATCTCTTCAAGTCTTCCATCATCTTCTCTCCTGCCTTGGCTGAAGCTGAAGATATCCCACCTCATTGTCATATTAATCTTAGATTCAAATTCGATAACTTGACTAGTTCACCTTCTTGACCTATCCTCATCACGTAGGGGTTGGCCTTCTCAAATTTGGGGTCATGGCTTACCCCATGATGATGATTGAAATTTGTGTCCATGATAGTATATATAAAGTGAGTGTTTTACTTTTTCGTACCCTCTCACTTGCACATTTTCTGACCATTGAAAATCCTGCTGATTTGAATCCTCTGTTAAAACTTAGCCAATCGATTCCTTTTATTTTCCCACTCTCCAATCACCAAACATCATGTTACCCCCAACTTCTGCTATCGCTCCATCTACTACTGGTCCCACTCTTCGTCCAAGAACTCCCACACACCCTAGACCTGGATTTGTCGCTCAGTCTCCTGATCTGCGTGTATCTGCTCTTCAACCGTCTCCTATTCGTGAACTGGTTGCGTCTGAAGACGAACCAAGTGTTTACGAGATCAGTGACGATGAATCCGACACCACAGATGGCATCGGAAGTATTGGAAGTGTCGAAGTGGTTAGCAATGAAGGTCCTTCAAACTCCAAAACCAAGAAGACGGTTCGGAAGTCCAAGGCCAGGGTTCACGTTGTCAAAAGACAGGGCCATCCTCGTGGCTCTGGAGCTTCAGCTGGCTTGTCTCGACGCCCGTCCAAGAAAACTAAAAAAGGTCGACTTGAGGTAAGTTTTTCACTTCGACATTATTCACAGCCCCCAATCACAAGTGACTGGCAGCCCAGTACATCCGATGACCTCAACCTTTTTTTGGTTTGTTTTCAATATGCTATTTACCATATCTTAACCAGTTATCATAGAGATCTCGTCCAGTCATCAGAAATATCCTGATCAGTTACCGGCAAGATCTCAACAGAGTGTTGAACAAGTGTTTGACAGCTATGGAAGCTCCACATCCATAACTATCACATTTTTTTTAGAGTGATCCACTCATCAGAGTAGCTCTGGAATGTCAGGCCAAGGTGACACCCTTGACGGAAACACCCAAATCACTTCAACTGGCCGCCAACTTGCTGCACGTAAACACAGAAATCAGTGCATGTCTCCATTTCAATATCTGACCTACAAAGATTGTTCCCATGACTAGAACAGCAGGGCGAGTTGTTACTTCTACAAGTGCCTGCTGCTGGGAAGGGCTTGGCAGCTGAAAAGGAGAAGATGGAGTTTAATTGGCGTCAGTACAATACTCGACTATCACCACCTCCTCCTCCTAGCCCACCTTGCAGCCAGCAAGCAGAGACATCTGAGATGCGCCCCCCGCGCAGACCTCAATCACACCATTCTCACGACACTAGATCAGCAGCACCGTCAGATCTTCATAATTTACCATCATCTTCAGGTGGATCTGACCGCACCATCAAAGGAAAGAAGCGAGCAAGAGTGGAACGATCTCCAACACCCCCACCACCTGTACCCGCTATTGTGCCATCAGTCACCCCCTACGAACTGGATCTGCTTCAGCACTGTCTTGAACATGCCATTGCCCCCTCTTGGACCACTCGACCTAAGCCTAACTTTGGAATGGCCAGTGCTGGTACCCCCAAAGCAGCCAAATGGCAATATCTATTTAAAGTCTATATAGTACTTGCTTGGGTACCTCACTTCAGCTCTGGAGAGGCTGGAGACACCTCTGCCAAAATACTTGACTGCCTCCTGCAGCTCATTCAAATTGGTAACATATGTACTTTGCAATCTTTCAAACATGGTGACGGAGAAAAGCTCACAGAATTGGTTGAGAAGCACCAAGCAAGCCTTGGAGATGGATGGCCCCATATGATGAAAAAGCCCAATTTGCAGTTTGCTGAACACATAGGCTCCATCTCAACACTTCTTGGGCCGCCTGCTTATATGGCTAGCTGGGCAGGCGAGCGGATCATTGGTAGC